GTGGTAGTAGTAGTAGTAGTAGTAGTAGTAGCAGTAGTAGTAGCGGTAGTAGTAGTAGTAGTAGTAGTAGGTAGTTAGTAGTAGTAGTAGTAGTAGTAGTAGTAGTAGTATAGTATAGTAGTAGTAGTAGTAGTAGTAGTAGTAGTAGTAGTAGTAGTAGTAGTAGTAGTAGTAGTAGTAGTAGTCGTAGTAGTAGTAGTAGTAGGTAGTAGTAGTAGTAGTAGTAGTAGTAGAGTAGTAGGTAGTAGTAGTCGTAGTCGTAGTCGTAGTCGTAGTAGTAGTCGTAGTCGTAGTAGTAGTCGTAGTAGTAGTAGGAGTAGTAGGAAGTAATGAGTAGTAGTAGCAGTAGTAGTAGTAGTAGTCGTAGTAGTAGTAGTACTAGAAAGAGCAGTGGCAGTAGCAGTAGTAGCAGTGGTAGTAATAGTAATAATAATACCAGAATAGTAGTAGTGCTACTCAGAGTAGTTGTAGTAGTAGCAGTAGTAGTAGTGGCAACAGTAGTAATAACAATAATCGTAAAAGTGGTAAACGTAGTCGTAGTAGTAGTAGTAGTAGTAGTAGTAGTAGTAGCAGCAGTCGTAGTAGTAGTAGTAGAAATAATAATAGTGTTAGTAGTAGGAATTGGAATCATGTAGTATGAGTAGTAGTAGTAGTAGTAGTCGTAGTAGTAGTAGCAGTCGAACCCGAAAGTATATGATGCTGACTAGTACTAGTTGCAGTCGTAGCAGTAGTAGTAGTAGTAGTCGTAGTAGGAGTAGAAGTAGTAGTGGTAGTACTAGTAGTAATAATCGTAGTGGTAGTCGAAGCAGAAGTAGCACTAGTATCCGTAATGGCAATAGAGAAGACAGCACAAGGAAAATGAATAGTCGTAGTAGTAGTAGTAGTAGTAGTAGTAGTAGTAGTAGTGGTAGTAGTCGTGGTAGTAGTAGTAGTAGTAGCAGTAGTAGTGGTAGTAATAGTCGTGGTAGTAGTAGTAGTGGTAGTAGCAGTAGTAGTGGTAGTAGTAGTAGTAGTAGTAGTAGTAGTAGTAGTCGTGGTAGTAGTAGTAGTAGTGGTAGTAGTAGTCGTAGTAGTAGCAGTAGTACTAGTACAGGTGGTAGTAGTAGTAGTAGTAGTAGTAAAAACTAGTAGTCGTGGTAGTAGTAGTAGTAGTAGCAGCAATCGTAGTCGTAGTGATATTAATCGTAGTAGTAGTAGGCGTCGACGCCGTCGTCGACGTAGTTCAAGGAGTCGTAGTAGTAGTAGTAGTAGTAGTAGTAGTAGTAATAGTAGTAGTAGTAGTAGTAGTCGTAGTCGTAGTAGTAGTAGTAGTAGTAGTAGTAGTAGTACTGGTAGTAGTCGTAGCCGTAGTAATAATAATTCTGGTAGTAGTCGTAGTAGTCACATTAGTGAGAGTAGTCGTAGTCGTAGTAGTAGTGGTAGTAGTGGTAGTAGTAGTAGTAGTAGTAGTAGTAGTAGTAGTCGTCGTACTCGTAGTCGTAGTAGTAGTAGTAGTAGTAGTAGTAGTAGTAGTAGTAGTAGTAGTAGTAGTAATGGAAATAATGGTAGTAGTCGTAGTAGTAGTAGTAGTAGTAGTAGTAGTAGTAGTAGTAGTAGTAGTAGTAGTAGTAGTAGTAGTAGTAGTAGTAGTAGTAGTAGTAGAGGTGGTGGTAGCAGATGTAATAGCAGTAGTAGTAGTAGTGGTAGTAGTAGTAGTAGTAGTAGTAGTAGTAGTAGTAGTATTAGTCGTAGTAGTCGTAGTCGTAGTGGTGGTGGTAGTAGTAGTAGTAGTAGTAGTAGTCGTCGTAGTGGTAGTGGTAGTTGTAGTAGTAGTGGTAGTAGTGGTAGTAGTAGTAGCAGTAGTAGTAGCAGTAGTAGTAGTCGTAGTCGTAGTCGTAGTCGTAGTGGTAGTCGTAGTCGTGGTAGTAGTAGTAGTAGTAGTAGTAGTAGTAGTCATGCTAGCAAACATCAGAAGATTGCACATTCGATTCGCTATTATTCCTTGCCATAATAAAGTTCGGCCTTGCCGCCCCTCTCCCCGACCAAATCTGCATTGGCCGGCGATAATAAACTCTCAGGAAGGGGTGGGTGGGTATGATTTATTTTGCGGGGCTGCGGGTTACGCGTGCAGGGTAAAGGCCAATGCCGGCGAAGACGACCCCTTTTTTTGAGAGCCATCTGGGCCTCCAGGGAAATCATGTGGACACCATGGGCCAACAACGCCTTGCCAGACTGTTCAGTCCTGGGCGTCCTCGGCCCTGGGACCCGACCCCATCCCTGGGGGTAGGTTTAGGTCGGGCATGTCCTCCTACAGGCTTGAAAAATATTCAACAATAGTCAAAACTTGTGAAAAATCGCCCTCTAACTTATTTTTTGACTTTTTGTGAATGTTCCTCCTGTAGAGGGACATGCCCGACTTAAACCAAGACCCGACCCCATCCTCAGGAGCAGGCCTCGGCCCCAGATCCGTGCTCGATGGTGCTGGGCCCGATGGCGGCTCCCAGAGGCCGAGAGCGAGAGAGACGCCGCGACGGAACCATGTCGTTCATCGAGGGCCCAGGTTCGCAGCTCGCCGACGTCATTATCCTGCTCGCAGCGTGGGCCCCCAGTGGTCCAGGGGGCGACGACGGAGGGGAATAGCCGAGGGGCGGGCGTTACACGCATTCGCCCGGGAGCCTCACCGAAGGCATGTACTCCAGATTTCGTAATAAAGGGAGGGGGGTCTCATTTCGGGGGAGGTCTCTTCCAGGCTATCTTGGAGGGCCTGGGGGGGTCTGGGGACGATGTTTTGGAGGGTTCTCCCACGGGGGGGGGGCCTGAAATGGCTTGTCTTGGAGGGTCCAGACCCCCTCCCTTTTATTACGAAATCTGGAGTACCATCGGCGCGCCTGGATACATGTGTTGCGCCCCCCTGGGCTATTCGCCCCTATCGTCGCCTCCGAAGGTCTGGGCCCCTACTTTCTGGGGACCAGCTTGTGATTTGACTGGTCTTTTGGAAGGTCCCGGGGCCCCGCCAGGGCCCCCGGAGCCCGAAGATAGCGCAACCCCTCCCGTCGCAGTTTGTGCTTCACGACGCGACGGGGCGTAACTCGGGCCTCTCGCCATCGTCGGACGTCCATGCCAACTACATGTGTGGTTTCGTGCGTTTTCTCTTTGGTTGCATGATGATCCAAGATGCTCTTCGATGGGCCTCGCCGAGAAACCGCACACGTCCAAGCGATGCCAAGGCCTCTGGCAGCTGTTCAGGGCGACTTGGGCACACCTGAAGGCCAGGCACGCCCTCGACGGGGCGCAGCTGCGCTGCTGGAAGGCAGCTCGGGGGCGAGGGAACCTCTAGGGAACGCTCTCGACGGGCCGCAGCTGCTGGAAGCCATCCAGGGGCGGAAAAACCTCCTGGAGCCAGACCCGCGGTGTCTGCATTCTTCCACCACGTGGACCCCAAGGAGGGTCTGGACCCCTTCCGGGGCGACCCAGGCACGCCCGAAGCGCTTTACACGAGGCGAAGCTGCTGGGAACCATCCCCTTGCCGTCGCTCGGACGTCCATTCCCCGTGCATTTTTCGGTTTCGCGCGTGTTTTTTCTTTGCTCGATGGTCCAGGATGCTCCTCGATGGTTCTCGCCGCAAAAAATGCACACGTCCGAGCGATGCCAAGATCCCAGGAACCGACGAGAACGTTCGAAAAACGACGAGCAACTGGCAGCTCTTCCAGAGAGATTTGGCGGCCGCACGGCACGCCTGCATCCAGCACGCCGCAGGGCACCGCGCAGCCGTCGGCGGGAAGGCGGTCCGTCTCGCCCAGCAGGAACCTCTGCAGCCGGGCGTCCCCGAACGGCAGCACCGCGCGTCGCAGCTCTGGGCCCGCGCCCGCTGGCTGGCGGCGCGCAGGAGGGGTGTTTGAGCAGGGACCGACCGTCCCAGCATTCCTACAGGCCTACCGCGACATGTTCCTGGAACCCAGGAACGTTCTAAGAACAAACACGATGCTCTGAGAACAGCAACCCGATATGCTAAAACAGGACAGTCCCGGCCAGAAATGCTCTAAGAACATTTCGTGCAAACCACAAAAGGTTCTTAGAACATTGGTTGGTAGGTCTATGAGCGAGCCAGGACACTTCGCCACTGCTTGAGGGTGCCGTGAGACGGTCGAGGGAAACAAGTACTGAACACTCCCCCCCAAAAACTCAGAGTTGGCACGCGCGGGGGGAGACCGCGGTCGAGGTGCAACCCATCGGACCCGCAGCCAACTTTGAACATTTGACCATTGGGGGGAGGGGGAGGCGTGGACAGCCGACTGTGGCATGGGTGCTCGCTATTTCTTTTGCCCGAGGCCCGGATCTCGGGCCGCCTCTGCATCCGCGGTAGCTTGGAGAGGACACGCGAGAGGACACGAGACCCTTCCGATGGCCACACTGCCGGTGGAACATAGAGGGCACGGGCCGCGAAACTTATGTCGGGCGTGTCCCCCTACAGGGGGATGCTCGACGAAAACTAAAAGATACTCCAAAAATACCCCCAACAGGCCAAAAAATATTCAAATAAATAGTCCCCAGACTATGTTTGGACTATTTTTTGATTATGTGTTGGGGGTATTTCTTATTTTTCGTCTAAAATCCCCGACTTAACGCGAAACACAGGGCACAAGGGCACCCTTGCTTGGGCAGGGTCGACCTACGAATCAAGCTCGACTGTACGATTAGGTCGGGCGTGCCCCCCCACCACGCGGGCTCTGGAAGAAAAACGACAAAACATCAAACAACAGATTCAAACAAAAACCCAACAATAGCCCCATATCATTTCTGAAGAGCTCCTCCTGCATAGAAGGGGCAAGCCCGACTTTGCCTGCACGACGTCGCGCCTCGGCCGAGGGCTCCGAGCCTGCGAGGTCTTCAGAGCGCCTCCGCCCGCTCTGGGGCGGCTTCCGGCCTCGGCGACGCCTTCCATAGAGGCCTCCTTGATGGGGTCGGAGTAGATGGGGTCGGAGGATCGCGCCGCATCGGCGACGCATCGGCGATGCATCGGCGATGCATCGGCGATGCATCGGCGATGCACCGGCGATGCATGATCGGCGTCGGCGATACATCCGAGATGTCGGCGTGGAGAAAATCGGGTCCCATATCGAGCCGCATCGCCGATGCATCGCCGATGCGGCGCGATCCACTCCGACCCCATCTGGGAGGCCTAGATTTCAGCGGCGGCCCCTCGCCCGGAATGCTTCCCGGGGGTGCCCTGGCTCGTGCCCGGCGGCGGCCGGGAAGCCCGAGTCGGGAGGGGTCGGGCGTGTCCCCCTACAGGGGAATTTTCGACGAAAAAACAAAATACTCAAAAAATGCTCCAAAATGGTCCAAAAATAATCGAAAAATAGTCCCCAGACTATGTTTTGACTATTTTTGAATATTCCTCCTGTAGAGGGACGGGCCCGACTTGATGCTAGTTTGTTCTGGCTCCTCCACCTCTTGGGATGGGGGATTGGTTGTTGAGCTCCCTCCGAGCTGAGAGCCACACGCTACGGGCAGACAGCATTGCACACACGTCCGGAGTCGGGAGGAGGGCCGCCCTTGAACCGGCTCGATGCCATCCGATTCGCCGGCTGGGGCAAGACGAAGTCAGGACGAAGAGATCATCGGGCGAGGATGAAGCGAGAGCCTCTAAGGTCCGTTGGCTCTGGATGTCTCGGGCGCCGCGGCCCTCTCAGAGCGTTCGGGAACGCTCCGAGACCGTTCCGGACAGCTCGGGAACGGATTTATCCTCGTCCGAGCCCTGTCCGTGGGGGAGCGGTTCCCTGAAATCCGTGCGCTGCAATGTCTTCGCACCGGGCGGGATTTTGGGCCCTGGCCCAGACTATCACAGATCGATCCCGCTGAAGAGATGCCGAGATTGGTGCTGGGGCTCTGGCTGTGGTTTCTCACGATGTTACAAAATTTCCGCGACATGCAGTCGGACTTGATTGGACAGGACACGCGAGAGGACACAAGACCCTTCCGAGTGCCTCATTGCCATAGGAATGTAGGAGGCATAGGTCGCGAGACACAGGACACAAGGGTACCCTTGATTTGGCAGGATCGACCCACTAATCAGTGCCGACTGTAGAATCTCAGAGTGAGTCGAGGGCGGTATTCGCACATTTTCGTCGTCGTCGCCGTCATTTTGGCATGGGTCGACCACTTCTGGAGGCTCTGGTGGCCACGGCTCAGCCGTGGCCAGGAAAAAACCTGCGGAAATGCTCCAGGGATCTGCCAGGATGGATCCCAGGAGTGGCCCTCTGGCACCAGCTTCGAGTCAATTGGGGTCTGGGAGAGGAGGAGGAGGAGGAGGAGGAGGAGGAGGAGGAGGAGGAGGAGGAGGAGGAGGAGGAGGAGGAGGAGGAGGAGGAGGAGGAGGAGGAGGAGGAGGAGGAGGAGGAGGAGGAGGAGGAGGAGGAGGAGGAGGAGGAGGAGGGAGGAGGAGAGGAGGAGGAGGAGGAGGAGGAGAGGATGAGGAGGAGGAGGAGGAGGGGAGGAGGAGGAGGAGGACGAGGTAGGAGGAGGAGGAGGGAGGAGGAGGATACGGAGGAGGGAGGAGGGAGGAGGGAGGGAGGAGGGAGGAGGGGAGGAGGGGAGGAGGGAGGAGGGAGGGAGAGGAGGAGGAGGAGGAGGGGAGGAGGGAGGAGGAGGAGGAGGAGGAGGAGGAGGAGGAGGAGGGACGAGGAGGAGGAGGAGGAGCAGGAGGAGGAGGGCCGAGAGGGGGCGGCCTCCCAAGGGCCAGGGGGCTTCTTCGAAGTGTCCCTGCCCGCTGTGAGGCCGGCTCAGAAGGCCCTCCGATGGCAGGGCGGTTCTCGCGGGAGCCCAGAGGCTACCAAGAAGGGCCTCCCAGAGAGCAAGGGGGAATTCGAAAAGTCGCTTGCCTTCTTGCACGGTCGGCCACGTCGCCCCCACCTAGGACTCACTCAGGGTGGGAAATATCGACCTGGAATCCGCCGACCCCAGGGGCGTGTGAGACGTCGGAAGAACGTCAAGGCGCGTGCAACACGTCTTTGAATGTCCGCCGACACCATAGGCGTGCTATATGGAAAAGACTCGCCACGCCTGAACCTCTAGGCATGGGTTCGCAAGAGGCCACCCACCCTGCAAACATCGCCCAGGGACCGCACACCACGCCTGACACCACCAGCCTCCTGAAGCCAGTGGGCATGGTTTCTTAGGGTCCACCCATCCTGCAAAAATCGTCCTGGGACCCCCCACCACGCCTGACACCGCCAGCTTCCTGGAGCCTGTGGGCATGCGTTCTTAGGGGCCACCCATCCTGCAAAAATCATCACGGGACCCCCCACCACGCCTGACAGCGCCAGCCTCCTGGAGCCTGTGCGCATGGGTTCTTAGGGGCCACCCACCTTGCAAAAATCGATCCTGGACCCCCCCACCACGCCTGACACCGAAAGCCTCCGCCTGACACTGCCAGAGCCTCTGGGCATGGGTTCTTATGGGCCACCCACCCTGCCAAAATCGTCCACCCACCACGTCTGACACCGCCAGCCCCCTGGAGCTTGTGGGCATGGGTTCTGCTGGGCCACCCACCCACCCTGCAAAAATGGTCCCGGGAACCACCACCACGCCTGACACCGCCAGAACCTCTGGTCATGGGCTCCCGCGGCTGGTCACGAAGAACCTGGCACACGCGGAACGTTCTCGGCGAGGCGCAGCTGCTGGCAATCATCCCCGAGGCCCGCAGACCCCCCGACAACTCCACAAACTTTCGCAAACTCCCCTGCCTGGGCCTAGATTCGCAGGCCTAGAGGTTGACACCAACACCAATATCGGCGGTGTGCCACCAACGAGGGAAGAAGATCCCGATCTCGGTGATGGCGGTCATGCTCTGGCTTCCAAGGTGGCCGGAATATTACCACAAACGCCGACATCTAGGATCCTCTCCTCCCAGCCCCGGGCCGCCGTGGACACGAGGGCGCCCTGGAAGGCCCCGACAAAAATCTCACCGATCCTTCGGTGGCAACCCCTGGGAGCCTCCCATACCATCTTGTCGGCTCTTACGAATCGACGCTAATCGACGCTACAACGACGCTACAACGACGCTAAATCGACGCTAGTCGAAGCTAGGCGACGCCAAATCGGCACATCTCATCGACTCCCAGACGCTAGTCGAAGCTAAAGACGGAATTGCGAGGGTACACAAGTCTCCCATGATTTGCTACGGAACAGAACCCGTTCCCTCGACGCTCGTCCTTCGACTATTTAGCGCACGCCTTCGACTCGAGGATCATAAAGCAACGTCGGAAGCACAGGCCTTCGGAGGTCCAGGCCGAGCTTGTTTGGATCGGCACTCGGCCCCGTGGAACTCCAACCGGACCATTCTAAAGCATGTGCGCAAGATGCTGTTGATCTTCCTCAGGGAATCGCACTCTATGCACCGACGTTTTTGTTCGGCCCTGCATTGAAATTTGCACAGGAGAGCGGATCCTGGTGTATACGGGACCCTGGTGCATACATGTTTCGTTGTTTCCCCGGGGCATCGGGGACAAAAAGTATGCACCACACCACCCCAGGGCCGTCCCCGACTCTCAAGCAGTCCTGGGATTGAGCAACAGCCCGCCACTGGTAATGTATATGTTCCAGTCTCCGAGTTTTCGATCGCCCGCAGCGCATCGCCAGAACATCGTAATTGACCGACTCGAGCCGGAATGGCCGAAACCACCATCGGGCCCGATCGGCCAGACCAGGCGGAGCGGAATCGAGACTGGGAGGCGCCGCGAACCGTGCCCCCGACCCCCGATCCTGCCGTCGCTCGGACGTCCTTTTCCTGTGCATTTTCGGTTCCGTGCGTGTTTGTTTTGCTCGATGGTCCAGGATGGTCCTCGATGGTTCTCGCCGAGAAAAAATGCACACGTCCGAGCGATGCCAGGCCGATGTCCGACGACCGAGGAAAAGCCCTCGGCGCCCCAACCCCCCTCCCTGAGGACGGTGTCTCGCCCCTGACCCATATCCAATGGCCCGTGGGCAAGAGAACTGGCCCCCGAGGACGCAATCGAGGAAAAGCACCCTGATACGAAGAACATATTATGTATGTCTGTCTGTCTGTCTGTCTGTCTGTCTGGCTGTATGCATGCATGCATGCATGCACACGCGCATGAATGCATGCATGTGTGTCTGTCTGTCTGTCTGTCTGTCTGTCTGCCTGCCTGCCTGCATGCCTGTCTGTCTGTCTGTCTGTCTGTCTGTCTGTCTGTCTGTCTGTCTGTCTGTCTGTCTGTCTGTCTGTCTGTCTGTAGGTCGGTCGGTCGGTCGGTCGGTCGGTAGGTAGGTAGGTATGTGTGTATGTATGTGTCTATGTGTGTGTCTGTATATATAGATGTGTGTATATAGGTATATGCGTGAATGTGTGTGTGTGCGTGTGTGTGTGTGTGTGTGTATGTGTATGTGTGTGCGTGTGTGTGTGTGCGTGTGTGTGTGTGCGTGTGCGTGTGTGTGTGTGTGTCGGATGTCGGAGATCTGGGCCCCCAGCTGCACGCCACCGGGCTGGGCTCAGCTCGCCAGGCTCCAGCAGCAGCAAGAACGCGGCGCTCCCCACCGTGCCCGGCAGGCCTGCGCTGGATCGAACCGCAGATGGCCCCGGATCGGAATCGAGACACAGATCGGATCTCCACGCTCGGCTCCGGCTGGCCACGGGCGATGCCATTACATCGGACCGACTCGAAACGAATCGAATCCCCGGGATCCGCTACCACAATTTCATGAAACGTTGCGAACCATCCCGAGCCCTAGACCCAACCCTTCTGCGAAAAAGCCTAGACTGGAAACATTGCGAAACTCGGGTCTCGGGTCTCACAGAATCGCAGCCTCAACCAGCGATTCGAAGCGCATCAGCCCGGATCGTGGGCGGCCCCGCCCGACGTCGGCTCGGGTCAGAACTTGGGCTTCTGGCGGCCGTTCACGAAGATCTGGGCGCCCCTGGAAGGCTCTCTGCGAGGCGCAGCCGCTGCAAGGCATGCCGAGGCTGGGAAGCCCCCGAGAACCAACGAACACGCCCGAGAACCTCGAACCTCAAACCGTCCTCGACCGAGCCGGATCTGGGGACCTCACAAATGGCGTCCTAGCAGGTGGGGTCGGAGGATCGCGCCGCATCACCCCTGCACCGGCGACGCCGGCGAGGCATCGGCGACGGCGGGTCCTCCCACCGTCGCCGGCGTCGGCGGCGCATCGCGCGATCCTCCGACCCCATCTGCTCGGATCCCGTTTGGGGGGCCTTGAAAACGGTGAGGGCCTTCCTGGCCATCGCTCGGACGTCCATTCCCTGTGCTTCTCTCGGTTTCGTGCGTGGTTTTCGTTCGCCAGATGGTCCAGGATAGGATGCTCCTCCGATGCCAAGGCCCATGCGCTCTCGGCGGGTCGCCCATGCCCTGCCCGTCCACGCGCTCGCTCTCCCTGCGGCGAGGGTGTTGGCCAAGGAGCGGTGGGATGAGGAATCCAGGGCCTGGAAGCTGGCAGAACTCCCATCGCGGATTGGTCGTGGATGATGCCGCCGCCCCCTTGAGATAGGGAACCCTCCAAATGAGCAGGGACCGACCGTCCCGGCATTTCTATAGTCCTACCACGAAAATGTTCTTAGAACCCCACAACGTTCTAAGAACAAGAACAAATTCGTAGGACATACGTAAACCCGATGCGATAAAACAAGACAGACTCCGCCAGAAATGTTAAGAACATGTCGTGGAAACCACAAAGGGCTCTTAGAACATTGGTTGGTAGGGCTACAGGCGAGCCAAGACGCTTCGCCACTGCTCGATCCAGGGTCCGAAGCCTCCCGTCGCGGCCGACGACAGGGGCGAATAGCCCAGCGGGGAGCAATACATGTAATTATCCAGTGGCACCGACGGCCTATGCCTTCGGCGAGGCTCCCCGGCGAATGTGCGTGTAAAGCCCGCCCCTGGGCCGTTCGCCCCTGCTGGCCACCGCTCGGACGCCCGTGTCCCGTGCATCTTGCAGCGTCGCGCGTGCGCTTCCCCCACGAAGATCCAGGCTGCTCAGCGGTGGCCCTCGCCGAAGAAAATGCACACGTCCGAGCGATGCCAAGCCCTATCGCCGCCTCCGATCCTGGGCCTGGTCGCAGCACCCTGGGGGTCCCCCCCCCCCTCCCTCGCTATGATGGGCCTGTTCTCCACCACCACCACCATAAGTTGGAGGGGAGGGGTTCCTCCTCCTCCTCCTCCTCATCCCCATCCCTCCTGCCTCCTCCCTCCTCCCTATTCCTCCCTCCTCCCTCCTCCCTCCTCCCTTCTCGTCCTCCTCCTCCTCCTCCTCCTCCTCCTCCTCCTCCTCCTCCTCCTCCTCCTCCTCCTCCTCCTCCTCCTCCTCCTCCTCCCCTCCTCCTCTCCTCCTCCTCCTCTCCTCCTCCTCCTCCTCCTCCCCCTCCTCCTCCCTCCTCCTCCTCCTCCTCTCTCCTCCTCCTCCTTCTCCTCCTCCTCCTCCTCCTCCTCCTCCTCCTCCTCCTCCACATCCTCCTCCGCCTCCTCCTCCTCCTCCTCTTCGTTCTCCTGCTGCTCTTCCTCCTCCTCCTCATCCTCCTCCTCCCCCTCCAACATATGGTGGTGGTGGTGGAAGACAGGCCCATCACGCTATCGAGCCCCGCGGGCGGGAGGCCGCCCTCGCGGGGCAGCGGGGAGCACCGCCCGCGCTTGCCTCGCGCAGCTCAAGTCGTTGTCGTCGTCGCCGTCGTCGTCGTCGTCGCCGTCGTCGCCGTCATTTTCGTCGTCGCCGCCGCCGTCGTCGTCGTCGTCGTCGCCGTAGTTATCCTCGTCGTCGTTGTCGTCGTCGTCGCCTCCATCGTCCAACGAATGTCCCCACGCACCGCATCTGGGGAAACCAAAGGTACAGCTACCGCTGCCCCCCCGGACCTCTCCCGGGGCGCGTTCTGACCAGGATCTCGGGGCGAATCTGGCGGTGGCGACGACGGAGGCCTCCGAGAAGGCCCAGAAAGGGAAAAAACAGGCGAAGGGAAGAGGTATGGCAGTACACCTTCCTCCGCTGACCGACGAATGTCCCCGCCGCACCGCGGCCCTGGCCTGGCGGCGCGAAAAGGAGGAGGAGGAGGAGGAGGAGGAGGAGGAGGAGGAGGAGGAGGAGGAGGAGGAGGAGGAGGAGGAGGAGGAGGAGGAGAGGAGCCGGAGGAGGAGAAGGAGGAGGAGGAGGAGGAGAGGAGGGGAGGATGAGGATGAGGATGAGATGAGGATGAGGAGGAGGGAGGAGGAGGAGGAGGAGGAGGAGGAGGAGAGGAGGAGGAGGGGAGGGGAGGGAGGAGGAGGAGGAGGAGAGGGAGGAGGAGGAGGAGGAGGGCGAGGGCGAGGGGAGGAGGAGGAGGAGGAGGAGGAGGAGGAGGAGGAGGAGGAGGAGAGGAGCAGGATGAGGAGGATGAGGATGATGATGATGGCGATGATGATGATGATGATGATGATGATGATGATGATGATGATGATGATGATGAGGAGGAGGAGGAGGAGGAGGAGGAGGAGAAGAAAAACGAGGAGGAGGAGGAGGAGGAGGAGGAGAAGAAGGGAGGAGGGAGAAGGAAGGAGGGAGGAAGAGGGAGGAGGGAGGAAGAAGAGAGGAGGGAGGAGGGAGGAGGGAGGCGGAGAGGAGGAGGAGGAGGAGGAGGAGGAGGAGGAGGAGGAGGAGCGAGCGTCCCTGGAAGAAAAGTCAATGTCTGCAGCCCCGCGCCGGGGGGCAAGGCCGCGCTAGTTCCTGCTCGCGCGGACGCCAGCGGGTGGGGGAAGCGGTACACGTGGTCCGTGATCCACTTCAGGAGTCCTCGGAGGAGAACTCGAATGTGATCTGGTAGCCGACGGCGCCGAAGAAGAGGAACTTTTGTTTTGAATGTTCTGTTCTTTGATGGCGACGATTTTGCCCGAGGCCAGCAAGACCCCGATGCGCCCGTCACCAGCATGCAACTTCGATATGACTCCACTCTCGCCATTCAGCGTGGCGGTTCGGAGGTCGTGCAGGCGAACGTGATCGCCGAGAGACCAAGCCCGAGAGGTGACGACATCGCCCAGGCCCTCGATGGTGCCTGTGTTGTGGTCTTTGTTCGTGTCCTTGTTCTTGTCTTTGACCGAGTCCTTGTCTTTGTCTTTATCGCCCTTGGTTTGGGCGCCGACCGCGTCTTCTGGAAAGTCGGCAACGAAAGCGGCGTCCTCGTAGCTGGGGGCGCTCGATAAGTCGATGCGCGCGCCAGGGCACGCGCAGGGCGGGATGTCGGCGCGGAAGACTTTCCTGGAGCCTCCACACCGAGAGCAGCGAGCGGCACCATAGGCGGTATCTCTTGGGATCTTGAGCCTGGCGTTGTCCTGATCCTTGTTCTTGTCCTGGTCCAAGCCTTTGTCTTTGTTTTTGTCCTTCACGTTGGCGTCCTTGCCCTTGGCAGGAGGGCCCCGCGACGACATCGGAGCATGTACCAGCGGTGCCTTAGAACAACCAGGAGAAGCCGAGGCCCCCGACTTGACCTGGCCCGTGACATTGTCATTGTCTTTACCCTTCACTTTGCCGTGCTTGCCCCAGGCTGGAGAACCACGCGCCGACGAAGGAGCAGGCACAGCGATGCCGCAGAACACCCAGGAGATGCCGAAGCCCTCGAGGAAGGCGCCGCAGAGCCTGACGAGAACGGAGAAGCAGTCGCAGTAGTAGGTACTTGAGGCAGATCTTGAACTTCTTTTGGGGCCTGGTTGGAACCGCGGGCTCCCTGCTGGGTGGCCTTGTCCCAGCTAGCCGTGTCCCTATTCTTGTCCTGGTCCGTGGCTTTGTCTTTGTCTTTAACCTTCACGTTGGCGTCCTTGCCCTTACCTGGAGAACCACACGACGACGCGGGAGCCGACGACAGCGGTGACGCAGAACAGCCAGGAGATGTCGGTGCCCTCGAGGAAGGTGCCGCAGAGATTGACGAAGACGGAGAAGCAGTCGCAGAAACAGACTTCGGTGTAGACGCAGATGCCGAAGCCCTCGACCCAGAAGGCGACGGAGAGGCCGAAGAACCCTTGCAAGTGGGACCACACGGCGACGCAGAAATGCGCGTCGGCGGAGTCGTAGATCCTGTGAAGGGTGTCGATGTCCTCGAACCTGTAGGTGGCGTAGAAGACGAAGATCCACACGAAGGCGAGGCAGCGCACGACGGTGGAGTCAGAGAGGCTGGCGAAGGCGTGGACGTTGGAACAGCCAGGTCCCTGACATTGGCCTTGATCTTGGTTTGGCCCGCCGGAGCCCCACCGCCAGCGAGAACGTCGCCATCGCGGTCGCGATCCGCAGCAAGATCACCAGATTGGAGGTTGGCCAGTTGAGCTTCATCAGCCGGCGTGGCCGTACCACCAGTCGCGTGGAGCTCCTCGAAGATGCAGAGCTCCGTCTCGAAGTCGAGTGCGTGCATGAACGTGTCATTGGACTCGGGGGCGGTGACGATCGGCTCGAAGTTGGGGTCGCAAGCGGACGTGTTGAATTCGTGCGCCACCGAACCCGCACTTTGCGTAGAAAGCTGGCTGAGAAGTTCTTGAACTTTGGTCACATGCTCCCCCGAGACCACACCCAGTGGCATGATGGGAGGGCAAATCTGTGGAGCAGCGTGCATGTGCAGGAAGTGGTTGACGACGTGCGTGAGGGTGACCACCATGGCGTTGATGATCTGTTGCAGGTCCTCTCGCGGAGGCGGCGGCGGCAGGAAGTCCGCCAGTTTGAGCGGCCTCGGGAACTCCTCGACGATGGGGATCTTGTGTTTGGCGACTCCGTACTTCTTGTTTTCTGCCAGCAGGCGAGCGGCACTGTCTGGACCCAGCTCCTCTCTCGCCAAGTGGATAGCTCCGCGAAGGTGGTGGGACGGTCGACCATTTCTGGATTGGAGGTGTGCACGAAGCTTGAGCCCGCGCATCATGCCGATAGCGTTCGGGTACAGGGTGGACGGCACCTGCACGTAGCGGTAGCCATGTTTGCGTCGACGGAAAAGGCCCCGTTCCTCAGCTCGCGCTTGCCGATCGCGATGAGCAGGAGCGGAATGCGCATGAACCATGCTCGAGTTGCGCTGCAGATGGCCCCGCCGATCAGCAGTCCAGGCCAGCGCCCATGGCAAGCCTCGCAACCAGAGACATGCGGCCAGCGATACGAAGAGGAATCCGCCGACCCCTTGTGGGCCCCTAGGCGCGTGAGAGAGTTCCCCCCCCCTACCCCCCCCCCCCCGGGACCCCAAACCGGAGATTCGACCCCCCCCCCCGGGCCCCGGACGCGTCGCGAGCGACTCACGGGGCTGTTTTGGACCCAAAATGGGCTCAAGACGAATCAAGAAGGCCCCAAGAGGCCTCCGAGAGTGCCCACGAGGGCCCCGAGACGCCACACGAGCGCTCCAAGACGCCCAAGATGGCCCCAAGACAGGCCAAGAGGCCTCCAAGACGGCCCAAGAGGCCTCCAAGAGCAGTCCTCAGAAGGGCCGAAGAACCGAAAATCGTCAAATTCCGATGGGAAAACGAACATTTTGATCATATGCGACTTGCCCGCCCTCACGGCGTTGAAGACGGTCCACGAGCACCCCAAGACCGCCCCAAGACGGCCCAAGAGACCCCCACGAGGCGCCCAAGTCGGCCCAAGAGGGCGCCAAGACAGCCCAAGAGGCCCCACAGACGGCCCAAGAGGGCCCCAAGACAGCTCCAAGAGGGGCCCAAGAGGGGGAGATTAAACCGACAATCCGAGCCTTCCGCCCCAAGACGGCCCCAGAAGGCCCCAAGAGGCCCCAAGAAGCCCCCAAGACGCTACCAAGAGGCCCCAAGAGGCCCCCAAGAGGCCCCCAAACGGCCCCAAAACTGCCCCCAAAAAGCGTTGAAACTGCCTCCAAGCCGCACTTCGCAAGCGATCACCGCGCAAGCCGCACTTCAGGGCGTCCACCTCCTCTTCCCCCTCCCTCTCCTCCTCCTCCTCCATATCCTCCTCGCCCACGTTTCCTCTTCCTCCCTCGCCTCATCCTCATCCTCGTCGATTCTTTTCCCCCCATTCTTCATTTCCTCCGTGTCCCCCTCCTCTTCCTCCTCACCGCCCTTGTCCACCTCGGCCCCCCGGTGGCTTCAAAACTGTTTTCCAGAGGCCCCCGAAAGGCGCGCCGCGAAATCGCTGTGCACATAGCGAGCCTCATCTCAACGTCCCCCCCTCCTCGTCCTCCTCCACCCTCTTCTCGCCCCCCTCCTCCTCGTCCCCCTCCTCTTGTTCCTGGTCCGCTTCACCTCGTCATCCTTGATGATTCGCCCCCCCCCCTCCCCCCCCCCGCCCGCCTATCCTCCGCCTCATCCCCCATTCTCCTGTCCCCGTCCTCCTTGTTCTCACCAGTACGCGCGCCCGAGTCGACATCATTTGCACGTCTTGCATTTCAGGGTACCTTTTTTTGGCGTCTCGCGGGACATTGTGCGGGTCGGGGAACGCCGACTTTGGTAGCCTTCTCTTGCACGCGCCGCTGCACTGATACGTCGGCGACTCCTCCACGGGCTCTGCTGCGCCGCCGGCCCGGGCCGCGGTCGCCCGGCACGCGCTCCGCCGTTGCGCGGCCGCGCGCGCGGTCTCGCTGGTGCTCGGGCTCGGACCAGAGGCGGAAGCGCACGAGCGACGAGGTGGGGCGGTGGCGCGAAGGGCCCAGATCTCCGACGTCTCGAAAAAATCGTGACGAGAGGCTTTTGGCGACTTTCGGCCTGCGGGGGCCCTCGTAGGGCCCCGGGACCGTGAGAAAACGACCCGAGACGAAAAGCCGGTCCTCGGGAAGTCGTCGGGGCTTCCGGGGACCGCGTCTCGAAAATAATCGAGAGATAGGAGGTCAGGGATGGGGCAGTGGCGCGAAACGGGGAAGCCGGGGCTCAAGTAGCCGACGATGGAACCAAGACGCCCCAAGAGGCCCCCAAGACCGCCCCAAGACGGCCCGAGAGGCCTCCAAGAGAACCCGAAGACAACCCACCTCCTCCTCCACCACCTCCTCCTCCTCCTCCTCCTCCCTTTCCTCCTCCCGACCCGAGATCCGCCCAAGACCTTCCAAGCCCCTATTCGACGTCCATCACACGACCATTCGTGTCTCCACGCGCTCCCCGTGATGATAGCGCCGTCCAATTTGTCGGTTGCGGACCATGGGGTGGTTCAAGGGGTCGGCGGATGTGGCGTAAGCCTGTAGAATCCACGTCCGGAAGTGACGTGTTGCCGGAGGCAGGTCCGCGGATGCTGTAATGCAATGGATCCAATGTGTCCAATGCTTGCGTAATTCCTACATATTGTATTGTATTACATTATTATGTCTCCCCCCCTACCCCCCCCCCTGGAGTCGCGCCACTTCCATCGACCCTCAGGAGGAGGGCCCCTTCTGGGCCTCAAAATCTAGAAAAACCTATGGAAAACCGATGATTTGGGCACCTTGAGCCTTTTGGGGATCCAAGAGGGCCCCAAGACGGCTCCAGATGGCCCCAAGACGGCCCAAGACGGCCCTAAGACGGCCCGAGATGGCCCCAAGAGGGCCCAAAAAGAACCCAAGACGGCCCAAGAGGGCTCCAAGAGCGCCCACAAGAGCGCCTCCAGAGGCCAAAAACATTGATTTTCCTTACGTTTTTGAAAGATGTTAGCTTTCTCGCCTTTTTCGCCTCTCCGAAGCCCATGACGGCCCGAGCAGCCTCCAAGATGGCCCCAAGAAGGCCCAAGAAACACCCAAGGGGGCCCCAAGACGGCCCCAGAGGGCCACAAGACGGCCCAAAGAGGCCCCCAAGACGGCCCAAGAAACCCCTGAGACGGCCCAAGAGGACCCCAAGAGGGCCCCAAGGCGGCCGCGAGAGGCCCCCAAGAAGTCCTCCGAAGGGGCCAAACGGCGCGAAAGCGCCCCAAGACGGCCCAAGACGCCCCCAAGAGGCCCCAAGAGGCCACCAAGAGGCCCCCAAATGGCCCCAAAAAGCCCCCCAGAGACCTCCGAAAAGTCCCCAAGAAGCCTCCAAAAGGCCCCAAAGAAGCCCCCCAAAGGCCACATAGCGACTGGAGTGTAATATTATTTCCCCCCCTGGACGAACTGCGGCGCAGCGCCAGCCAGGTGGAAGTTGGTCACGGCGGCGCCCATGATTAGAGCCAGCGCTGGAAGGGAAGATGGGGAGGGAGTCAAAAAAGGGGGGGAAGAGGCCAGAAGAAGTCCCCAAGAGGCCCAAAGAAGCTCCCAAGAGGCCTCCAGGAGGCCCCCAAGAGGCTCCCAGAAGGCCCCGCGACGTGACTGTACGTGCTCCGGACGTGCACCCCGCGAAGCGAGAGGAATCGGAAGCTGGGGAAACGCATGCGGCTTGAGCCAAAATGGCTTGAGCCAAAATGGCTACGGAGGAGGAGGAGGAGGAGGGAGGAGGGAGGAGGCCCTGGCCTGGCCAGCCGGCGCGGCGCCCAGCGGGCAGAGGCCGCCGGCTGGCCGGCAGGCGGTCGGCCAGCAGCGCCGCGGCCGCGGCCGCGGCCGTGGCGGACCCCGCGACGCGGCCGGGCCTCCGCGGAGGTCGCGCCGCCATTGGCCGGGGAGGGCCCGCCCCAGCTCCTCCAGAGAGCGCGGCAGAAACTGCGAGGCGGGAGCATATCTTCAGATAGGCCCACGTCGTGAATATAGATATATGTGTGTATACATATACACATATAGGTGTATGTGTGTATATATATATATATGGACATATACATCTACATATAGATGTCGAGAGAGAGAGAGAGAGAAAGAGAAGGATAGAAAGAGAGAGAGAGAGAGAGAACGAGATAGAGGAAAACCCGCCCTCACAATAAACACCCCGACAAGAGGAACCGTGCAGTAACATACACACTCAAGAGAAGGAATGGAACAGAGCAGGGCTGTTCAATAAGCGCCCGGGCCGCTTAGCAAACGACAGTTATCAGGGTCGGGGCGGTTTTCCCTTCCTCGAAACAATATCAGCGGCAGATGGTTTGTTATTTTCGGCCCCTCGGGATCCTCGCCAGGCCCCGGGACGGTCCAAGCACGAATCGGGATGAAAAGCTTCCCCCCCAGGATCCATCCCGGGCGGCTCCGCGTGGTGAGAACATCAGGACAGCCGACGTCTGGGTCACTGTCCGCCGCCTGGGGAAGCGATGTCCTGGGATGCCGCACGGGACCCGAACACATCCATCCACCGCCTGCCGCGTCGCAGCGACGCAGGAAGAAAACTGTACGAAAGGAACGACACTAAGCTGGAGACCGCTACTTCATTGACTGGGGGTGATGCGAATTACGGTTAGGTCGGGCATGTCCTCCTACAGGCGGATTTTGGAAGAAAAATAAAGACATGTCGAAGCTACGACCTGCTGAATAAAAAAGTGCGGACCGGAGAGGTCGCGCGAGATGTGCGACGATGATTCCATGAGGCCCGGGGGCCCCTGTACAATGTTGCAGGGACCAGCCCAGGGATTCTCCTGTCCTCGCCTTAATGTTCAAATCGCCAACTGGGGTGAGGACCGGAAAATCGCGATTCCACCCAATACTTCTTCAAAAAAAACTCTCCGGTCGCTTTTCGGAGCAACCAAACAATTTCTCTGGCAACCGGAGAATGGCGATTTCGCCTACAGGACCTAGGACTTCCTCGGCAAAAAATTCTCCGGTTCCATTTCCAGCCACCGGAGAATGGTGATTTCGCTTGGGGCATCCTCGAAACCATGATTGTGGACCCGATGCATGCGGGCAGAAGATGACGATTCTGCTTGGGACTTCCTCGCATCCACATGTATATCGCCCGATCTGATGTCGCCAGAAAATTCAGATGCCGCGCCGGACCTCCGCGTTCTGTTCGCGCGTGCACCAGCGCGCCGACACTGCGTCTATCAGTCTGCGCGCGAGCAAGCGCGGATATGAGTGAGTCTGACCAGGCCGCTTGATGATGAGTGGATCTGCGCGTGAGAGGGTCAGCGGGTGCGTCGAAGTCCTCTCTGACGGGGTCCGCACATTTGAATCCAGCAGGTGGTAACAAAAAAACAGGCGTCTTGAGTGACACCCGTCTTGCAGTTCCGCTGCCATCTTCGGGCCCAAA